TGTGTCCTTTGACTTCAAGCTAGTTGTCTTTTTCTTTGAGTAAATCTGACTGCAACAAAGTAATAATCTATACTGTATTTGAGGTAAAAGACCCAGCCCTTAAGGTCTGCACTGATAGCATCTTGCCATCGTTGCTTCAGTCTTCTGTGTGGCCAGCAGCCGTTCACCTCTAGATGGTAGGCAATGTTGGCAACTGTATCTGGGGCTGATCGTTGGACATGATTCTTAATCTTTTAAAAAAATAATTTAATAAAAGTTAAATAACTAATTGTTCTGAAAGAAAATATCAGATGGGCATCCAGGTAGCATAACTGGCAACACATCAGCATAGTAAGCAGGAGTTACAAGTTTGAGACCTGCTCTGGACTGATCTTTTTTTCTAAATATTCTAAATTAAATTTAATAATTAGAAATAATTTTTTATTCACTCTTTAGATGGCAACCTAACCCACTACCTGTAGCAAAATTGTTTTATATCTAATCATCAAATTAACTTTGTTATAGCCCAATTAATAATTTGGCATTAAAATTTAATGTAAATGTTTTCTCCTAAAAAATTATAATAAACCAATAAAATATAAATTTTATTACCTTTAACTGTAGTAACAAAACAGGATCTTTTGCAGTAACATCATGCATTTCAACCAATTCTGGCCTACTGACTTTCTATAAAATAATTAGAATTATTAATACCTAATGTCAAAATATAAAACCAAAATTTACGATAAAATTTTTTCTTACTTGTTTCAGTTCGGCAATACTCATTCTATTTAACTTTTTCAACTTCCTCTTTGATAACTTTGGTTTATTTTCTTCTTCTTTTCTCTATCAAATAAGATAAAGTTAATTAAATTAGAAATTTAGAAATTATCATTATCAATTATAATAATACTTTCTAAAATTCTTCAGAAAACAAAACAAAAAATTTATTAAAAAATTTGATTATGATGTATATCTATGAAAATTTAAAAAACATATAATGATTAAAAATAATGATAACATAATTAATTTGAATAGCAGGATGTTAATAGACAACGTGTGGAATGATGTCATATATGCTATGCAGATTGATTGTTCCTGTAATTGATTTTGAAAAGTCTGAGATATTGATGTAGGTTCTGTTGCAGATTGTAGCATTTGTGAGTGATATATTTTAATAGTTTATATCTTT